AAAATATAAATCAGATTTTTGATGAGAGTTATGTAAGTACATATAAGATATCGTTGGTGTTAACAACACTTTTCGAATTTCTATTCACATTTTATACAGGGTGCGGCATTTATAGTGACGCGGGCATATTTTTCGGAAAGGAAGTGAGATATCAAAAAATGTTTCAGACAAAAGTTGCATGATTTTTTATCATGTGGCCCCCTCGAAACCATGCAACTTTTGTCTGAAACATTTTTTGATATCTCACTTCGTTTCCGAAAAATATGCCCGCGTCACTATAAATGCCGCACCCTGTATATCGAAGATATAAATATCACAAGTGTTAATTGTTAATAAATATGTATATAATTATTTTCCGAAGTATTATATCTAATATAATACGCTAATATAAACAAGATAACAAAAATTGTATAATAATTGGATATTACAAGATTCATCTCTGTTTTCCTCTCGCACTTGTTCGATATAAGATTAATATTTCGAAAATAAACAAATCTAATTCACACTCTATGTTTGTGTGCGTACACCTTGATACATTTTCTATTAGTAGGATCTTTGTAAGCTTTGAGATCTGTGATGATTAAAGATGTTCAGTAAAAGTTCAAGGAGGGATAATAATCTTTCCGCAGACAATTTTTTGCATCTCTCCAGCGAACTTATTTTCCAATCAAGAATGTGTAACAAACTAGACTATCGAGATTGGCGCAATCAGTTGCAACCGATTACTCGAGATTACCATTTTATATCCTGTCGATGTTCCGTACTGGGTCAACTGGGCAAAGGGGTAAGCAGGTTACATGGCGAGCGACAAGCGTGCGCTTCGGTATCCCACCCGACTCATCATCGCGCATCTTCTTCTTACCTCATGATTCTCAATGTAGAAGTCGATGAATGACAGTCACCTACGACGCATATTCTTTTTCTGTCGCGCTCGTAGCCGTGAGTGAAAGCTCGCGCGCGCTCGAACGTGCTCGTCATGCTTCCGGTGCGGTACATTTGTTATTCGTGTTCCTCGTTATCACCTATAGATGCATAAAATGTTTGCGGAAAACTATCTTTCGGTGATGATGAGTTTCCTATGCAGATGTGATAGATCTATATTTCCAGATCAGTGGAGTAAGACGGCCGTCTTTTCCGGGTTGCGTTCTGCGAAAATATTGTCCGCATTCAATGATTTTAACGAATCGCGTTTTTATTTTTGCAGCTTGAAAGATAAGTTCAGCGAATTTTTAAAGAGTCACGTCGAAAGCATAAGAACATCAGTAATCACATATGAACAGAGAAAAAAATAAAATTAATTATTATAGATCATATTTTTGATGCGGATAGGATTTTTCAGGTTCTATTTCTTAAATAAAATAATTCTTCTTTTCTAAACATTCTTTTATGCCATAATATTGTGTAAGCTATAGGATGTATAATGCTACAGGATTTATAACGTAAATGCGATCGTTCAATTATCTGAACAGATAGATTTCGAATAAAAAGCACCCCCAATATGCAGGATGTCCCTGGAAAAACATGAAGAACCTAGAACTCTCAGGGATTTTTTTTATATTTGGAAAAATCAGAATCCTCATGAAATTTTATTAGAATTCGGGGAATTTAAAAAAAAATTTTTAATAATTTTATTCTTATTGTAACCAGTCGGCAAACCAACTGAATTATGTGTCTAAAATATATTATAAATATATATCTATCTCTGTTTATGAACAGAATATATAGAATATGCAGTTCATTTTTTTTATTGTAATTTTTAGTGATATAAGATTAAAAATGTTATGCAGGTGAAAAATGTTTATCTTATGAAAGTTATCTAGTTTTTTTTTCAGTACATTTTCAAATCCAGCACTTGAAACTTAAGTGACTCTGTTTTTTCTTTGTATGAGTGAAAAATATTAAAAAACGCACACAATTAAAAAACTTATTTTAGAAAGTTGCATCCAAAAAGAATCTCTAAAAAAATTTTCTTTATCTGGAATTTTGAATAAAAAAACCTGGAAGATTAGAGAGTTTTTTTTACAAAATTTGAGTAGACACCTTGATTCGACATAAATAAAATATAAAAAAGTAGATATATCTAAAAATAAAATTGTATATCAACTTAGGAACGACATACCTCGATACAAATTTACATATCAACAATGCTATAAAAATCGTAAAATTATATAGAGTAATATAGAGATTTAGATTTAATAAATTACTGTTATATTAATTCAGCCTTTCATTATTTGGTTCTATTTATTTAGTTATTTGTTAACAGTGTAATGTTGCATCGTTAACAAATAACCAAATAAATAGAACCAAATAATAAAAGATTCAACTAATCTAACAGTAACTTATCAATTCTAAATCTCAAACAATGTTGCATCAATGATAGCTTGTAAGTAAAGGAAGTCAAGCATGCTAAGAAAACCAGATATTGACCGTGAAGGAAGAGAGATTTTTAAAAATTGCACTCGAATGGCAAATAAACGATTCGAAACCAAAGTAAGGCGCACAACTGTCGTACGAAGGTTACAAACCGGTTGCAGAAAAGAGGCTGCATCGCAAACATGCATGTATTCTGATTCCATGTATGCAGAATGCAATGGCGTTAATACATAGTCAATATCAGTCAATCAATTTTTTTATATATTCCATTTACCACGTTCTACTGGTTATTATATAACGAGATTTCAATTTAAATATAATATTTGAAAGTCACGTATAGTCTCTCTCTCTCTTTCTCTCTCTCTCTCTCTCTCTTTTTCTCTTTGTCTCTTTTATATTCTTTAGATAATTTAGGATCGTTTTTTTTGTAGTGAAGATTCGGGGACATGATTTTTTCTTAATTAACTGCTTAATATTTAACATTAAATCTCTCACACAGTTAACTCACAAATCAATATTTGATAAAAATTTAATGAAACGTAAATTGAGACTAAATATAGTTTGGCTATTTTAAATTGCAATTTAATTGCTTGAACCTAAATTTATGATAATATCTCAATATTTAGACGGTAGAAGGACTGGAAAATTATACACCTTCGCAATTTTTTTTTCGCTAAAAAGAAATCGGCTTCCGAAATTCATTAAGACAAATTATCATATATGGGTTAAAGTTTCTGGTACGACAATATTTCCTTAAAAATAAAATTGGACCTAATTTTATAGTGTTTACTTTCCGCTTTAGGCAGAAATAATTTACGAATTATAACGTTACCTGTAATTATCCACGATAAAAAATTGAGGGTCGTTGCGGGTGGGTACCTTAGATAATATGGCGTTCCCACTCGTCGAGAAATGTTTACAATTGCGTGGAAGAGAATGTCGCGGAGAAGAACCTTTCCTGGATCTGTGAAACGGATTACTGAAGGATATTGTTATTACGGCACGTGCGTTGCCGTTTGCTCCCATTCTGTACGTACGATTACAGGACACCCCGCTTGCTAATCATGTACTACAGAATGGAAATGGAATATATAGCGTTTAATAATTACGGTGCGGTTCACCGCTGTTACTTCAAGTAAGAATCTTTGTGAGAAATCTTGATTGTCTGGCAGCCACTGGGTTGACAACTTTATCATGCAGTTATGATGTCCCGTTAAAATTTTTTTTTTAATCAAAGATTAAATTATATTCATATTCTTCCCAGAATCTGTTAGATGAGACAAGAAAATTAGATTGGGACTTTTAAGGTAGCCTAATATTTTTTTATATAGATACAAATTTTTATATAATTTATTAAATAAGTGTCTTTATTTCTTATAGACATAAACATGTGGTATAATGGTTAGCAAAAAACATTAATAGATTTATCTAGAAGCATTCTTTCTCGCAAGATGTTATCCGATAATTTTTCTGCTACTTTTCCCTCATTGTTCAGTATTTTATTTAATGTTATGAATTTTGTGCTTGTTTCACTGTCATTACACGGAAATTCTACGACCAGCCAACCATCAACGAATCCTCTATGTGTTTCCCAAGACGTCGCATTGCATAGAGTGCAGCGGCAATCTCTCTCAGCAGTGTTATCTAAGCCATGGACCGTTACCCCCACCGACCTAAATGCACGCCGTATAAATGGTCACGACACCTTCTCACCACTGTCAGTAAGCAGTGCATCTAATCTCGTCTGCAATGTACATCACGGCGCTGTGAAAATAGTGTGCGGTTTCGTGGCGTTAATTTTTTTACACTTTGTATGACACATCATTTATGATTTTTTTAAATTAATTATAACTTTCTTTCTTTCTCTGTGTGTGTGGGGCATCTCGATGATTCATACAATTTGCGATCGAGAATGACTATACTTAAAATGAAAATTCGGCACTGCACAGCTGATTGGCGTCGTCTACAATGAGATATGTAAACCAGTTAATTGAAATAATCAAAATTAATAGTGCAAGATTAAAATTGTTTATTTACATTATGAAGTGCGGAAATTTTGAAGTTATCGAGTGGTCTTGCAGAACCGGATGTCCAAGAGTGGCACAAATATCGTGTTGGATATTAATTCTGTTGATTATTTGTTCACGACGAACTTACTCATTGACATTTGATAATACAACGAATCTTTTTGTCCAAAAATGTCAAATGGAATGCAGTTTGCATAAAGATTTTACAACCTGCGGGAAATACAAAGTTGTGAGATGGTTGAATACAATAGTTAGAGAGAAGGTAAGGGTTTGCTGTAAATAAACGATATCGGTATCTATATATGTATATATATTATGCCTAATTACATTTAGAAATTCAGAAATTAGTAGCTCACATCGCTACAATGCTAATTGTGCAATAAATATATATTTTTACTTTCATATTAAAATAATAAAGTTATTAATATTATTTGATTTGACTTTTATTTATATGATTCTGGTCTAGCTGTATTAAATATGATTTTAATAATAGGATTATAATAAAATTTGTAAAAAGATGATGAATGATTAATATAAATTAGGTAATAATAAATAATAACAATTATATACACACATATATATATATATATATATATTTCGAATAATAAGGATACCATCCATGCACAAGCAATCCTTTTTGCCCTTTTTACCACGTTCTCGAGCATTTAAGAACAGCATAACGGAAACCCTAAAATTTGTTAGGGATAGCGTAGAGGATTTATTGACAAAACGTGCCATTGTGTATACAGTAGACAATTCAGCAGTTGCTAGAGGCTTTCCGTCGAGTTTAATGTTAGTGGACGAAGATGAACTTACGCAGATGAAAGATAAGGAAGAAGTAGAAGGTAAGATTTGATAGCAGATCTATCGATAAAATATTCAATAAAATATTCATATCAATAAGAATATATCTGAAAATATTGTATTTTTCTGCGGGTTCTTATTTTTGATTTTATAATCTCATATAATAAAAACTTTGAGAGATGGACAAACATACATATACATATATACCATACTATAACTATTCTTTATATTTTTTATTCCTGAAATTCTTGAAGTTGTTAGTCTTTATGATAATATATTGATTTCTTGGCAATAATAAAGGAAATATGTACTTACTGTTTTATACAACGGGACATTAAAATTCGTATCCGACAGCATAATTGTAGCTTGTGTCGCATTTTGTTTCGGATAACGGGTAACGTTATAAAACAAGTATTATCACTGCAGAAACTCTGCAATCAACTCTTACAATGCCCTGCAGATTTGAAAAAAGCGATGAATGCTACAATGAAATGACAACGTTTACTTCCTTGTATTTCTTGTAACGGCAACGATATTTAGCTGATATCAATAGTTCTATAGTGTTTAGTGATAGTGTTTACAAAAGAGATAAAAAAATTAATAATTATATTATTTTACAGGTGATTGGCGAATTTTCAAGAAGAAGAAGTCTATAATCTTTCCGGTTCTTATATTATTAAATTTAATAAAACTAAAGCTATTGTTATTACCAATTATTCTAGGAGTTCATTTTATTAAAAAGATTCTCGTGTTTGGATCGCTCCTTTTAACATCGATATTGGCGCATTTGAAAGTATGCAAAATACAAGCTGCTGGTCAATATGGTGGTGCTCATACGCACCATTCGCATCCTTTTCATTTATGGTCCACTGCTGCGGAATCAAGTGACTATCCAACGGGTAAGAATATATTTTAAAGAATTATTTTTTTCTGAAATGTATATACTAAACAAGCATTTATTATTTGATAAACTTTTAAATAGGATGAGTAAAAAAAATACGAAGAATAGTAAAATATTTTTAAATATTGTAATATTTATATTTCCAATATATTTCCAAAAATTATTAAAATCTGTTATTGCATTTGGGATTCCTTTTATAATAATAACGCTATACATTTGATTATATTATTAAGTCATATGTGCTAATGTGAAATAAATATCTTTGCCGAACAAAAGTAATTGGTACAGCTTTGCATAATCATAAATTATCTAGGCTAAGTTAAGATCAACATCATTCAAATGGTGTAAGGAGCTAGCTGATGCATCTTTGTAGACGAATATATATGAAGTATTGATACGCTGACATCAATATATTTAATGTCAATCGACAGCATCTGTTAGAGTTCGTTCCGATAACTGTACATTTGACATAATTAAATGCGTCATTATCTTTTTTTAAATCTTGAGAGAACGCATCACAATTGCTCAATATCAATATTCGCTTTAATATTGAATTTATTTCTCACGCAAAACTTTGTCATGTGTTAGGAAAAGCACTCTACGCCTATTTATTTAGAGTACCGTAGTTTTTTAATACACATTTTAACATTCTCTTTACAGGATATGGACAAGACGACACTAATTGGCACAGAAATGATTACCAACTAGGTTATACGAATTATCAGTTGTTTCGCAATCCTTACGGGTGAAAATGTTGCAAACTATCACCGATCACTAGCGAAAAATTCATATAATTCTTTATTTTGGATAATCTTAGTGAAGTGTGCGAATCAGTTGTATTGAGACACGCGATATTGTTAATATCTTAATAAGTAATGCATTTGTGATTGGATTGATTTTTATAATCTATCTAATCATGATAATCGCGCGTAATTTTCACTAAAATTGTTCGTGGCGCAGTGAATTGGTATATGCCGAGTGAATTCCAATCAACGTCGCCAATGCTTATCTCGGATCCGTTCATTTGCCGCCTATCCTGCCGAAGAACACATACTTGCGAAATGACTTTCACATAGCTTCTTACCGTTATTTGTGAGGCACATATTGATATATTTCCAGTCTCCGTAACTTTGTAGACTTTAAAAAAGGGCACGGTGTTAACGGTACATCCGTCTTTTCTTTAAATCCCACATTAATAGAGGACGCGTGAAAGAAAAAGGAAGAGAGAGAGATAAAAGATCTATCTATCACAAAGATAGAGAGATAAAACGCCTATCTCTTATAAATTATAAAAATTAGAAACGGTTTGCGCAAATATGCAATTATTTATAGTACCTACAAAGTGTCTGTTGACCTCTGACACTTAGCGTTGCGTTCGACACGCTTGTCCCAAGCGCGTTTCTTCACAAAAGCAGAATTTTTTAAGATGAGGATCGACAGGTCGCCAGGTACCAGATGACTACAAGAATGATTCGTGGTCAAGGTCACGTGCCGCCCGGATATTCGGTCGAGTACGATGGCTCCTCTGACTGACCTACTGACAGATTTGGACGAGCGCCCAGTTTCTGGCTCAAACACACGCGCGTAAGCTGGTTTGTGCGTGCCGCTGTGCTGTGTGTATCTTGATCGGCGTGTGTATACACACGCGTGTGACTCGTACACGGTTCGATCGAAGACCGTTATCGGCTCGCAGACGATGCACCGGCTCGCACCAATCATATTCGTCGTTAATACATTTTAGACTTTATGGATGACGTTGTTACATCCGATATACTATTTTGCTCTCACCCTTTCCTTTTCTCGATTTACCGCTCTCCTTAACCCACCGCGCGCTCAGCGATAGGATTAATCTTACAATTAATTTTCTATTATTTTTTTGTTATCACATCTTCTAATACGTATCTTCAAAATCAGATGATCGATCTTTTCTAAAGAAATGATTTTCTCTTCACATCGTTAGAATTTTCCATTATTTTCAATTATAAGAAAAGATACTAACAATAAGCCTCTTATAAAGGATATTATAAGTGAAAAAATGTGAGAACTTGTGAAGTCGTCGCTCCACTGACGAGCGACATATTGATAACGATGTTCACGCGGGCTTCATGAAACGGTAGGAAATGCGAATCGGAAGCGACACATTGCGCATCGCTACGGATAAGCGATCGATACGCGGCATGCACTCGTCCACAGCAACTCGACCGTTACGTTCTTACGTTATATGCGAACGAAAAAGTCACATTAACGTAACGGACCATCGTCCATGTCACGGCGCTCGACTTACGCATCCGTACGTACGTCGAACGTATCGTCTGTATATTGTACAATTCATATATGCGCGTATGACGTAGATGGATGATCATGAACGGTATGCGTTAAATACCGGAGATGTTTCTCAGGATGTCATAAATGGAGTTCGCGGAAAGGAAAGGAGTGTCGGCATGAATGATTTAATTGAAGGTTTAGCTTAAATAGTGATCTGTCTCCTTTTTTAGAGGAAATCATTTTTGAAATCGAATGGAATTATATAGCATGATAAATAAATGATTCTCTGGGAAAACTCTTAGATGAAATGTGAACTTTTAGCACCGTTTCGCAATGTACGAATGCGTTTTCAGGTTTCAATTCTCTGCTCGTCTGTGTAAAAATGTTGATATCACAAGATCGACAAATCCGATGCGTTTTGTGTATAGATTTAATTTAAACTTTACAAATTTAATTTTTTTCCTAGATACTTTTTAACAATATTAGTCATATAAGATATTGCTTGCGTCTTTGCGTGAATGGAATAAAATGAGAATAAGTAGGAGAATGCTATTATATATAGTGTTGGTAATCGATCATGTATTTTTTAATTTTCATAAATTTAGTTTCTAAAATCTTTTTGACAATCTTTTGTGATTAAAAGCAGATTGTGTGTTTAATATCATTTTTTATTCGTGATTGTAAATATAAGTAAAATAAAATTGTAGAATAAATTAATATTGAGAATAAATTAAGGTTCTCCTTATTTTTCCTCAATTGAAATGTGCACTATAATATATTGTACTTACGAATTTCACGCTCTGCTTTGTGTCGAGATTGTAACATATCGATCGACCAACGATTGTAATATATTTACATTGTTTGACGTATATGTTAAGAATAGAATAAGGTTGTAAAAAGATTATATTATTTTTTTTTCATTAAATCTTTGCGTTTAAAAATAATGAATTTTTTAATTCAGTGTTCCTTTTATTAATTTGAATACGTGATAAGCTAAACATAAGTATTAATGAAATATCGCTCAAAAAGAATCTGTGAAAGAAAAAGCAAAAATATTAATAGCAGGGAACTAAATGTACAACTTACATTTTCGTGATGTAAGCGAATGATTCTGTAGGTGTGTCACACTGGTTTGAACGTGAAACTTGAACGAAAAGAAGTAACACACCGATTTGACCCTGTTTTCATAAGAAATACATTTTTGTACAATGAAGTCAGAAATCAGGGATTTTAATTTATAGTGCCGAATTATAAATTGTTAAAAACCGGTAGAAAGAATGTATCATCAGGAATGATCATACATGAAATTTTAAGAACTAAAAAAAATTCATTCATTATAGAATTATTTTATTGTAACTTTAAATATTTTTACAAAGACTGGATTTTTAAACTATAAAAAAAAAAACTCTTTACTATTATTTGTATCTGTTTTCATAAAAAAATATTATTTTTGTAAAGCTTATCTTCTCTTCTTACAAGCATTTCGCGATTTATGATGCAAATTTTATTGGTCTTTTTGCGGAGCTCTCGAGAATCTGTTTCTGTTTAAAAACGTCAATAGTATTCGATGATATTCTTGTAAAAGTTCTTTTGGTATTATAACGGTTTTCCTCTAACACTAAATATTCATTTGCAAATAGTATCTTGAATCATTGATCTTATGTACCGCGGTGTCAAGTATAAATGGTAATCACTAATGCAGTAATCGAGTCAGTTGTTAGTTTCATCATAAAAGAAAGGATGACTTATCTGTCGATTGTTGATGAAACCTAAACCAGTTTTTCGAAGACTGAATGAGGTCACGAGTGCTATTCGATAAAAATGTCACTGAAGGTATTCACCTCTGATATATTGGTAAGTTTTCGAGAAAATAAGAGAAAACGCTCGTAAAAGTATGCAACCACGATTGAATTCATGACTAATTTGATTCAATTGGAATGAGTGCATCTTCGCTGACGTCATAACCAAATGTAGTTTCCACATAAAAAGTAGATCATATAGAAAATTGATCAAAACTCGTTTTTTACATTCTCTTATCCCTTTGTTAATAAATATTTGTGTATAATCAATACCATGACTTTCAAAGATAATGTGTCGCACAAGTGTCTACTAATTAAAATGTCTTACGCTAATTATATTAATGTCGTAAGCGAGCACATTAGAAATAGTACGAATATGATTAATGTATCTTATTCACACAGATACAAAAGAGTAGATTTTAATTAGCTATCTAAATCTTGTCGTTATAAAAAAAATTAATATAACACGAATAATAATAGAAGCCTTTGGGGTGTGCACATTCTTATTCTGGGAATATCTTTTTCGAATATAAATAGCATTTAGAAAGAAAAAAGATCAAACCAGATCTTTCAAGAAAGAAAGACCAATACCATAGCTAGAGATCTTTTCAAAGTATGGACCAAACATGAGTTTGAGAAAGATGTAGATTAATTTGTAAATTAATTTGAATTTTTTTGATTGTCCCCTACCTTTGCTGTTATCTCTCCATTCAGTTTTATGTCTTTCTTTCTCTTTCATGCAAATTAAGATTTATTACTGTAGATATATTAGATTCTACAGCGATTATCAAGGGAGACAATCTCTCATTGAGCAACGTCGAGCGAAGCTCATTACACTGACTGATTTGGACGTTCGCCGAAAATGCTGTCGGGTGAAATCGCACGTAAGCAGTAGGATTTCAGTAGCTAGACCCGCGACAAATTCGATCGATTGGTTCTGAATGGGGAAGGATTCCACCTTAAAGCGGCGATCGTATCTACGATTCTTCCTAGGAAAGAGTAAGAAGGGTAGATTCTAAACCGATGGCGGGAACAAACGGACGAATGAACGAACGTGGTCAGCAAGAAGTCGTTTGGAAAGGAATGGCTAGAGGGACGAAGAGACGGATGGCCGGGTAACCCAGATCGGGTCAGTCGAGCCGATCCTACGGAGACCGGCTGCCAGTACAGCATCGGACGTCGTACACGATTCCGGCTTTCTGGCGGCTTGATTATTCAAGCGCGCTCTATCGACCGGCTACTTCTCGATCGTGAAAGAAGTCATTCGATTGCTGAGATTTACGCTGATTGTCTATAATCTAGATGCAAACAGGGTGTTGATGTCAGCGATACACCGTGAAAGTGAGTACAGGGCAATTCGCGAATAAGAGATACTCGTTAACACTTCTATGGATCGTTGCATTTGATTGATGGATAGAATTATCTCTAGCATTTACGCGCGAGTAAAAAAAGAAACAGAGCTTGTTTGTGTGAGATCATATTTAAAATTGATTGATGAAGGGGCCATACTTTTCGTACGCTAAGTATTTGTCACATACACGTGTGCATGTTTAAATCTTTAAAAGTAAATTACAATCTAGACATATGTTTTGGGCTTTTACGTTATTATATTATATTACATCTCACATGCGGATTTTAGCGAAATTTAAAAACGATAAGAGGAAGTTGTTATTGATTTAGCTTTCTTCTCTTAATTTTATTAAGAAATACGTAAAAATTAATTTTATTAATATAGGATGTATTAAAGAATATTTTAAATTTTATATATATAATAGTTATAACATTAAAACACTCATAACTATATGTAATATATAAAATTAATATAAAAAAAAAATTTTTAGAAATTAATCGGTGATTAACATATAAAAGGGAAATATAATCAAAATATATAAAAATTTGTTAGTAAAGATAATAAATCATTTATGGAAATATTAACAGATTGTTAAAAATAAAGTTCGATTGTTATTTATTAATCTATAC